AGAGGTGACCTTGGTTAAAACACATAGTGCCAAGAAGGTGAGCAAATATATTAAGAACAGTATGCCATATATGCCAGATCCCTTGAAACAGCAAGGATGGACCGGCTCCCGGCAATCATCCATTGAGGATATTTTCATTTATTATTAGAGGGAAAGGAAAGAAAGGATAAAAACATCAATGATGAGAGACAATCATTTTTTGACTGCATCCTGCATGCCCAATACATGAGATGTTGTCAGCAACCTGAACATGTGCCCTGACCAGGAATCAAACAGTGACCTCCTGGTTCATAGGTCGATGCTCAACCACTGAGCCATGCTGACTGGACTGTTCCTGCACTGCTAAGATTCACAGAGCTCCCCGTGTACCTGGGCTCTGATCAGCAGGACTTTGGCAACATTATAGATGACCGGGCCCCAGCGTTCCCTCACTTCCCTCTGACATCAATGGCTATGGGCCTGTCCACCATGATGCTCTGAAGCTCAGGGGCCCTTGGAGGTTCCCTCAGCACAGGTGTGAGCTGTTGGAAGTGCTCCTAGGTCAGTGCTCAGTGTGTCTCCACCTGACACAGGAGGGACCCTAACAGACTGACATTATACATGGGCACTGCATGTGGGCTCAGCAGGGCTGCTGAGGTCACTTCATGCCGCCTGAATGGCCCTGGCCCTGGCATCTCAGAGAGGGCCTGGCACAGGAGATGGGCATGAAAGGATGCTGTGAGAGGCTGGCAGGCAGAGGCAGTTAAGTGAAATCAGGGAGTCAGGCAGGCAAGTGGTTATGAAGCAGCAGTCCCAGATTGTGAGGGGGTTCATTTAAGGCAACACCTACCACAGGGGGAAGGAGAGGGCAGACACAATCACATGGGATGTCCTGTGCATGCCCCATGGGATGAGAGTGAGGGTGGCAGAGGACAGAGTGTGAAGATGGTGTAATGTCTGCGGAGCTGGAGGCACAGCAGAGGTGGGTGGGACCATGTCTCCCTTCAGCAGATTCTCATGATGCTGGTGGTTCCCCAGGGGAAGCGGGGATGTGTTGGGACATATCCCCCCACACCAGGTTCTGAGATCTACAGGAAACAGGACCCAGCAGGGCCGGTCACTGGGCCTCCTTCCTGCCTCCGTCCGGGGACACCCTGAGAGCTGGGTACATATCCCAGGCTCACAGAGGGGCAGAAACCACAGGGGTTAGACCCTGAACCTCCATGTGCAGCCATGTCAGTGAGAGGCAAGCAGCTAACTGCTCCCAAAGGGCTTCTCCTGGGCAGAGGGAGGAACTGATCATCCTCAGGTGAGGTTTGGGGCCTGGACTCTGTGATCCTGCTCAGCACTGTGTGGAGGATGGGGGACGTCTCTCTCAAGGAGGGGACAGGAATCCGTGCAATGTTTTCCTTGTCAACCCAGAGAGCAACCATCAGGGACATGGTGACAGGAAGGGCCCAGATGAGAAGTCGACCAGATCTGACACACAGCCACTTCCTGCTTTTTTTCCTGCAGAGACTCTAATTAAAGACACAAAGAAGGAAGAGGAACTGCCCCAGGGACACTAGGAGGGAAGAAAGCATTGACCCCAATAGGAAGCCTGCACAACGCTCCAGAGACA